ATCAGTGAAATAAAAGTTGCAAAACATGGATAGGCAGAGTATCAAGCGGATGGGACATGCATTATTGGCTTTTTCAAGATTACGCTCCTTACTGGAAATGAGTGAGAAACAGTTGGCTGATATGCCGAAAGAAGTACTCATCGGGTTGGCATCACATGAGATAGCTATAGTGTGGGATAAGTTACCGGAACAATTACAAAACGATCCGGATATAGCCAAATACCGATTTTGTGAAGAACATTATGGTGGAGAGCAGGAGGAGGGTGGCCAACATGCCAACATCGATGTGAATGATGGACCAGCGCCAAGAAAAATATTATGTTGTTTTTGTCAAGTGAAAGATGTAAATGTGGCAACTAATAATAAATTTGATATTAATTCTTCGCCTACCGAAAACCCGGGCATTCTTCATTGTTGCAGGCAGCAATAAGGTTGATGCTCTTAACGCTGCTACTGTATATATTGACGTTTGTTTTTGGTTTTCGCTGTTTTGTTTGTTTTCTCCATTCATGAGAAGTTATGTCGCAAACATTTACCATTTCTGGAGATCGTAGTATCCTGAGTGCAGACTTTTTTCCACCAATTGAGCTCGATGTGAGGAATACTTACGGTTTGGGGTTACACGGGTTCTATTCATACAACTCTATACTCAATATAGATGAGACAAATAACAAATTAGTTGTTTGGTATGAAGGGGAAAGCTTTCTTGTTGAAATACCACCAGGCGCCTATGAAATAGAAGAAATCAATAGAGCAATACAAAAGGCTATAGAAAGAGGGGTTCCGCTAAATGGGCGAAATATTGATGATGTGTTCTCTCTTCGTGCCAACAATAATACGCTCAAATGTGAACTCAAGTCCGAATTCTTGATAAGTCTAGATATTGCTACTTCTATAGCCAAAGTGTTGGGTTTTAAATCGGGATTTTACCGGCCCAATATTTTGCATGAATCCACTTTACCTGTGAACATCATAAAGGTACGATTGATACGGGTTGATTGTAATATCACCACTGGAGCATACCTCAATGGTGAGGAGGTTCACACGCTTTACGAGTTCGACGTCGACGTGGAGCCAGGATACAAACTTTCAAAGGAGCCGAAAAATATAATATATCTACCAATCAGTCCGACAGGGCGTCAGTCTATCGACAACATCACACTGAGAATTTTGGATGATAACGATCATTTAGTCGACTTCCGAGGAGAGAAGATTATAGTGAAGTTGGAATTGAAACAGCTAAATTAAATTTTCTACGTCGATTTGGAAGATGGGCTTCTGCTTTGGAAACCAATCAAAACGTGTATCGCTCGCTACTCACCCCACTATTCTGCACATTACCAATAAGAAGAAGTGTAAACGTGGGAAAGGATTCAGTCAAGGGCAAATCACCGGTCGAGGAAGACATCATAAGCTTTCTGCGAGCGACCTAAATTTTTTGAAGTCTATTGGGTTGAGAGTAAAACGACGAAGGATCAGAAATAAGTGAACGATGGTTGCCACAAGTTCTACTAGTTTACAATTGGAAGTGTTTGATGAACCAATTTTTGATCATTCACTAATTAGCCTACATGAGCATACATACAAACCATATGGTTCTCCATCATTCAAGAATTCCGATGAAATTAGGATTGCTGTCAATTTTCAAGATTTGATACTGGATATTGCTGAAAGCTACATTTATATCGAGGGAAAATTCATCCCGAACGATTTAGCAAAAACCTGCCATCTGTCCAATAATGCGCTCGCATTTCTGTTCGATGAAATCCGTTATGAAATGGGTGGCGAACAGGTGTGTTTGATTCGAAAACCGGGCATTACCACTACAATGAAAAGTATGATATCTTATGGTGAGACAAGCACCAAATTTTTAGACACGGTTGGATGGGGTCTCGATGAAAATAAACAGGTGATTCTAGATACACCCAGTCATACATTCAGCGGAAAACTACCGCTTAAATTTTTAATGGGGTTTGCAGAGGACTATAATAAAGGAATTCTGAATATAAAGCAGGAGCTTATACTCATCATAGCACGCTCATTCAAAAACTCCTATATGGGGGAAGTTGATGCGAATGTGACGATCAACAAAATCGAATGGAAGATAAGGCATGTGATGCCGTCCGATAGGCAGAAATTGAAGTTGTTGAATCGATTGAATAAAAGTTCTACAGCAAAAATCAAGTTAGCATACAGGATGTGGGATTTGTATGAGTTACCGGCCATTCGTGAAACAGCTTCAGATATTTGGGCTATCAAAACAACTAGTAGCCTCGAGCGCCCGAGATACATCATTATCGGTTTTCAAAGCTCCGATAATACAGATGATAGATCCAAGGAAGCTACGAAATTCATTCACGCAGGAGTGAATAATATTCGCCTTTACTTGAATTCAGAAGTTTACCCATATGAGCGCTGGAATTTGGATTTTGACAGAAAGTTAGATGCTGTGGCTTACTATGCATACGAAAATTTCCAACGTAGTTACTATGGCAAAGATATGGGTGAACCAATGATGAGTATTGAGGAGTTCCGAAAAAATCCGTTATTCATCATCGACTGCTACCACCAACCCGATGCGATGAAAACTTCTACTGTCGACATCAAATTGGAGTTTGAAACCCGCGAAACGAAGTTTCCACCAAACACAAAGGTTTACGCACTTATTCTTCATGACGCATATCTGACATATAGCGCATTAGATGGTTCCATACAGATGGGTGCTCCTTGAATACGATAGATGCGGATCCACTCCTCACTGACACCGCCACCGTCATCACATTAGTTATTAGATCTCTCTTCATGAAATTTATCATTACTCAATCTACTCGATATTGTTATTCATTGTAATCAATAAAATACAAATGTACTAAAAACTATTGTTTTATTTTTACATCAAAATATTATCGGCATTACACATTACGCGAAAATGCTATATGCCCAATTCACCCCCTTTGTCCTCCTTCATCTTCAGTGTCTGGAATCACCCCCAAGTGGTATTTCCGAATCAGGCTGTTTGGTAGCAAATCGAAGATTTCATAAAGAAATTGTTCCAAGTCTTCTTCAACCATTGCTTCAAGGAATTGCTCCAAAGTAATGTTGCTGTATTCATAGCGGGCACATAGTAGAAATCCAATTTTATATTTTTCAGCTTGTTTGAGGAGGCGCTGAACTTGTACTTGATCGAAGCATACACTCATATCATAATTCCCTGCATGTAGTGTATCACGCTCCAAATCCATGAATCGACATTTCAACCTCCTCACAGCTGATCTGATATCTTCCGCCGTAGGCCAAAACTGACTAGAATAATTCATACACATTTCGGGAACGTGTGCTGCACAAGAGTGATCAATTCTGTAAATAAACAAAACATTCAGGTAATGGATCACGGTGGAAAAAATGTAATGCTTGATTCCAATGTATGTAGCCAATATAACACTCACCAAAAAAAGTATCGAAATCAATGATGATTAGCGATAAAGTGATGATGTTAATGTAAGAATTATTATATAATTTTTAAACCTTTTTCACTACACTATATCGAAAAACTAATTGAGGAAATATGAAACTATTTGTCAATTACACCCCCCTTGACATCAAACTTGATGAGAGCCCGCGTCTTTGCACCTGCAAATGAAGGTTCACTCTGACCCAAGTACGTTAAAGTATAAACGCCGTTAGAAAAATTGATCTCATCAACATCGCTTTCTTTCAAAAGGTCTACAACTCTTTTTGGTAACCAACATTTTAAGCTCACCTCAGTTTCTTCATCGTACAATATAACGGTGCCACTTCTACCGAATCGAGTCCCACATAACGATATTTTCCTGATTATAAAACTCTTATTCAGTGGTAGCGACGATATTAGAATTTGTTTAATAATTTCATTTTCCTCATTAATTCGACTATTGATTGCGACTAGATCAATTTTAGGAGGAGCCATTTCTATTTTTACTTGTCGAGTGAAAGAAGGAATAAAAAATATATAAATAATTGAACTTACGTAAATCTGATATCACACTTTATCGCACTTCCACTGATCTGACAAGATTGTTCAGCCAGCAGTATTTTCGGAATAACTATGCACTTGAAGATGGGGATTCTGTATTTATAGAAACTCGGACATGGAATACCCCACTACACCACCAAACATCCTTGAGAAGAGGTACAAATGCGCACGAAAATTACTCCCCCCAAGGTCACCACGACAATTGTCCGAGATGAAACCTCCGTATCCCTCCCAAGGTCACTCCCAAGGTCACTCCCAAGGTCACTCCCAAGGTCACTCCCAAGGTCACTCCCAAGGCCACTCCCAAGGTCACTCCCAAGGCCGCTCCGAATGTCACTCCTCCAAGGCCACCCCCCAAGGTAACTCCCCCCAAGGTCACTCCCCCCAAGGTCACACTCCTCTGGCCTTGGGGGGAGATTTGGAAATGGCTAAAGCCCTCTACTAACTCCCAGAAATTTAATTTCTGATACAGAGGCCATATCAGACATGGTGATGCGTGGGGTATTTTGTTTGTATCTGAAGTTCATATATGTTTTCTTATCAAGATAGAGTTTGATCGAATTTCGATTGCACCAGTTAATGCACCGTTAAGGTATTCGGGTAGATCATTAATAAAGATAAGAAACAGAAGTGGCCAAATATATCAGATTTCTCGTTTTTTATCTGGACATAAAACCTGCGCTCAGATAAATATGAGCCTAGCAAGTCAAGTATAGGACCTGTTATAACAACAGCATATAATTTATCTTGAAGAAATTTAATATTGAGGCTCGCGTGAGGTCAAAGAATACCTCTGCAACTGTCAGTCCCTTGTCTAGATACTTATACACAATATCCATGAATTCAAGCTCTGCTCCTGATCATTCTGATCGAGAGCCATATTGATTATTTGACAGAATACTGAATTCTTCTATAGGAAATGTGTGAGTCTACTGTGATATAAACGTTAAACACAAGTATAGGTACGTACCTTACCTACTTAGATGATGCCATCAGCTTAGTTTCACTATTCACCAATCACTAATATTGAACCACAGAGGCAATAGATGTATAAATAGACACTTTAATCAAAGCAACAATTTATAGATAAGCAAGTGAATTTTTCCGGCGTTTCCATATCTTTCGCGCGCTTTGCATCATGTATGACTCATACTACTCACTTATTTCGCGTTGTTTTCATGGGTTATAGAGTGTTTATCAATTCCTCTCTGTTGCACTTATGCAATAAAAACATAAAGATATAAGTAATCTGAAATCTGAATGTAAGAGCTCACGCCCGTTCCACTCAATGAAAACCCTTTTATAGATAGTTCAATAGTTCATTGTTGTGGATTAGCTTGTTCGCGTTTATTTGAAGGTTATGGTAAGAACACTTCACAAGCGCAATTATATTATTATATATATAGCTTTTGCAGTTGCAGTTGCTTCAGCAAGTTTAATTTGTTTGAATGCATTATCAAGGCGCGGCTATAGATATTATTCATGCGATGTTTCACAGTGGCGTCAGTTAAAAACTGTATGTCAGAGTATGAAAAGTATCATGGAGTATTTACCATGAAAAATCGTTATCCCACATTTTACAATGAAAGCAACTCTTAAATGTCCTCCGCAAACTTTGATTGAATTAACCCCACACATGACACCTTATATAGGGACCAAGAAAATATATCCTTTGGCTGGAGCCCGCGGAAGATCACGTTTTAATAATAGTCTTCATTCCCAAGCTGTATATACTATCGATATTTTACATCATATTATTTGTGTCTTCTCAAAATCATCTCCACGACATTTGATAGAAGCTACCGTCGTATCATGCAGCCGTACCAATGATACGGGGGGGGGGGAGGGGGGCAGGCTACAGGACCCCCGCCTTGTGTAATCAGAAATCCGTAAATTCTATATGTATATTCGGCTATAAGCCTGGATGTCTCGTATACTATACTTCAAAGTCAATGTGTACTATTGCTATTTAGATATATTGTTTTCTCGAACGAAAGTGAGGAAACGTTCGAAGTGTTACAACTCATCGTTTTCAAACGAAAAAATAAAAAGGGAAGCCGGAAAACAGTCTGCTAAATACAGAGAATATAATATTTCAGTTGATCAATTGTATATGAAGAATTAGTTGCTTTGAAAGCTTGTTTGAAATATGAAATTCAGAAAATTCATCACATTGAGGAAATCACGGAATTATTACTGATAAAATGTAATAGCTTTGCATCTAGTTTTCCGTTAGTGATACTGGTACTGGTTCTGGTGGGGGACGTTTGCACGTCAGCAACTAGTCCCTAATGGAACCTTTTTGCAAGCCCCAAGGTGTTTTTTAATGAGTGATGTGGTTCGCTTAAGAGAGCTGGCTAACATCCTTCCCAGGCACCGTCCATCAGCTCTAACTAACTAACAGAATGACATCTCAGAGTGAACAACCTCAGCCCTGTGCAGGGGGCACCACAGGGCTAGACCAACCTCTTTCCCACTAAATCAGTATAATCAATTATGCATTGCGAATGTGAATTTCTTTTTATATGTTCTGGTTCCCTCGAAAAGGGATATCCTGTAATGTTCAGAGAACATCGTGAGAACCAAGGAAAATAAGGTAGGAATTGATGTGATACTTGAATTTCTGGAGGTTATATGCCTCGGGGAACACCTCCCTTGGCAATGTGTTCCAGAGCCTCGCTGTTCGTTGGATGAACGAGTCTTTGAAAATAGATGTTCTGCAGGTCTCCAAAGTGACCACGTAGGGGTGCGAAGCCTCAACTCGACGTGTGAATCTCGCGAGGACTGCCAAGGAAGGAACAATTGTTGATATTTCAGAAGAGCATCGTCCACGAAAATATCTATAAAATAGAGCCAGATCGCTAACTCTTCTACGATGTTCCAGAGAAGTGAGTGAATTTGTGAGCAAGGCATCACCCACGAGACGAATTGCCCTTTTTTGGACAGAATCCAACAGTTTCAGTGTGTGTTTGGCTGCTGCACTCCAAATATGGGAACAGTATTCCAGGACAGGTCGGATCTGTGCCTTATAGATCATAAGCAGTTGACTGGAGGTGAAATAGCTCCTGGTCCGAAACAGAAAACCAAGTTTTTGGGATGCACTTTTAGCAATTGGTCTCATGTGATTTTCCCAAGAAAGCTTATTGCTGATAGTAATACGAAATGGATGTCTTCAAAGGTATGGTTACATCTGACAAGCTTATGTTGGACACAGTGAGATCGGCTTTTCTAGGGAAAAGGCATCATGCTTGTGTTTTGTTTGCATTGTAATCTACCAAGTTATTGGATCAGTTCGAATAAATTAAATCGCTATGTGTTCATGAACTACGTAGTAGAAAGAAAAAAATGTCTTACTGGTGATGAAGTATCATTTGAAGGACTCACTTGAGGAGAGAATATAGAAAATAATTTGATATTCATAGAAAATAATTTGATATTTATGAATTTAAAATTACTGATATGTTGCCTCCCTGCTTTATGGGCAATGAATAAGGCATGTATGGCCGTCCCCAAATACATGGAAATCACCATAGTTTCCACCCAAAACGACCAAACCTCTTTCATGAATGTTCAATGGGGAATTGCATGAATCTTTTATGGTGTTAGTGGTAATAGCTGTTTGGTTCGTGCAACCCTCTATACCGGAGGGGTTGATTGATTGAATTCCAATTACGAGAACATTTTTCTTGCATCATGTCAGAATAAAGATAGAGCAAGTTTCTATAATGGCCAATTAACCTAATAGGAAGCTATTTTTAAAAATTGGACAGATATATTGAACTTAATTCATCTTGACCCATGCGAGTGTGAAAAAGATTCTGTTCCTCCTAATAAAAATTGTCTGTTTATTTACAAATTTACATGTATAAATGTTTTTGAGCTGCTATAAATCTGCTTTGTATGTACATGAAATAGTCAATAAACTTCTATTGTATCCTATTCTATTCTATTCTATTCTATAGCACAACCGCTCGCTTTACAAATTTTCACCACATAAGTCAAGGAGATGATTCAAACCCTAATATGTTTTATTTTTTTATAACTCTTGAATTCGAGCAAATTTCAAGATTTTACAAGACATTGTTTTAGACCCAGAAAATTTGTTGTTGAGTTCGAAAAATCAGGGGAATACAGACTCAACTGTGGATCTTGTGGAGTTTGTCAAGGCCAACTATAATGTGAAAAATTATTTTGATGAAATCTATTTGTTTTTGTTTTACACGCAAAAAACAGATTTTGATCATTTTCATATCTTCTCCGTAACTTCTTTATTTATGAAAATATTCAAATAGGAATTTCACATTCTCATGGCAGTTTTTCAAAGTGATTTCGAAAAAAATATGAAATTTCTACCAACTCTTCTAGAATTTGAGATATCAGCACCAACTTTAGTTTTTCAAATGTAGGTCATAGCTCACTATGACTTAGTTACAAATAACTTTTTTTTCTCTTACAGATGATAATAATATGTCGCAGTAATAGTTTTGTGTTGATAACAACGGAGTTATCGTCATTTATACAAAAAGAAAAAATTATTTGGAAGCCGCCATAATGAATTCATAAATTTCAACAAAAAAATCATGATCTCCGACCTCGAAAACCCCCACTTACCAATTTTGAATATAATCGGACAAAATCTTAAGAAAAATGGCTGCTCCAAGATGGAGGACAAGATTTGGTCCGATTCCAAATATGTATTTGCTATCAACCCTTCCATGTTAATCCGGTACACCGTATTTTAATGTAGATATTGTGCCTAATTTCCGAAAATGAAGGTTTATCGAACCTGTTCACAGGTAACTAATCCTCCAAGTTGGGAAAGTAGGATATATAAAAGTTAAGCAAGCCAAGGTTGGTTTAGTTCATGGTACCAGTAGGTATAACACCTGACGAAGCTACTGTGTTAGCGAAACATGTTGTGTGTTTAGACTGTCAGAAATTTTGTGGAAATCTGATATAATGTAGCAATGAAGTGTTACGCATGTGAAATGCAAAACAGCTACATCCTTATGGCAAGACAGTTTTTTCCCCATTGTTCGATATTTTGAAATTTCGTCCGTTCTCCCGGTTCCCACTCGCCACCCCTTGCTTTCCCTAGCGAAATTCGCACCCCCGTCGTCTTCATATATGCGCACTTATTGCCTTGTATGATCAGCTGACAATGCTGACATGCACTTGGATCCGGCCACGTGACCGGAACATCTCGGCCGCGTGTACCACCGGAACTAAGAGTCATATCTCTCCCGATTCTTCCCCTTCAACGTGGATTATCTGCACGTCATGGATGGGGAACATTCATAACGCTAATCCCAAAATGTTTTCAAACTAACAATCAATATTGAAAAGGAATATTCTCAGATATATGTATGAACACAAGAAAATGGAGTAAAGAATTCCATTGAGAAATCGCATTCTCCATGTGATGAAAATATCAGTTCTTTTTCAGTTTATTCAACAGAAAACAACTACTTTCCTGGCTATATGCCACGACGAACATTGAATTACATCTATTGAACACACACGATAAGAATTTGAAAACAAAATCTTCTGAAGTAGAGAATTTGCTTTCTCCTCCATATAAAGATATGCACATAATATCATTCTGAATATTCAACAAAACAACTAAATTGGGCGTCAATTGAAACGTTAATAGTGAAATTTGGCATCAAGTTCGACTTCTCGTAATTTCTAAAATATTGAACGAATTTTGAATTGCCGCCCAGATTCTGAATGCCTTTTTCATCGTCTTTCGAACCGTTCCTTACAGCTTCTTCTAAATTGAAATTGAAACAAAGTTTCGATCGTGCATTTTGAAAAAAATTTCTCCGCCCCTCCATTTTGTCGGAAGACCACGATGCTCATATTTTATTCGGGCATTCCATGAATAGCAACCATATCTCGGAACGTTTTCGAGTTTTTGCCAAAAACTACTGTGGTTTACTAAAAAAAATTTTTTTTGCATTTTTTTAAATGGACTAATTTTAGAGGAGTTCCATAAATGGATGCTTTTATGCATTTCAGGAAAGCGTTGAAGCAGATATGTATACCAGGTTACTCAAAAACAATCAATAATTCACTACTTCGTAGTCTATGATAAAAGTTTTCTACCTTAGTGAGCAGTAAATCAACACATCTCATCAACAAAAACAAACAACGATACCTTGTTTCTATGTTTCTATAACAACGTATTGTTGAAACAATGTAGGTATGCATAGAGGTTATATCAATTGCCAATTTTCATGAAAACGTCAGTGTAATTCGAGTCCTAAAAATTTTAAAGATGCCTCGTTCAAATCGGGTCGAAATGGAAAATATAATAAGGTGAGATCACTGTAGTGATATAAACTATAATTCAGTACAAATAATTATTATTTCCGGTTACGCTGATTAGGATATACACAAACTCATTTTCAATAAGTTAGTCATGACAATAAATGATTGACAAAACATTTTTTTTCGGAAACCACAGTAG